ACCATCCTCGGTATCGAACCCTACAGTTGGGGGCTCGTCCGGGATCGGTGAAGTCGTAAAGAAAAGTCGAGTTACGTTGTAAAGTCGGGCGATTCGGAATCGCAACAAAAAGTCGTGAGCCAGCTCGAACGTGTCGCGCGCGCGTAACGTTCAGCTAGCCAAACAAGTTGTTACAGTCGAAGTTGTGCGGATTTCCATCAAACGGGCGAAACGGTGTGTACCGCGGAAGTCGCCGCGTGCAAGCCAACGTTGAAGTTGCGTACGTTTGATCGAGTTCGCGATACGGCGGCCATCATAGAACGTGGCACAAGCCGAGCAGTCGTGTAAAGAGAGACAGTGGTTTTTGAGACGGTTGTGGACGGAAGACGGTCGCGTACGAGAGGCAGCCGTGTGTCGAGTGCATTATCGTACGCAGGACATAATCGTGCAACGCAAAGTGCCGAAATGTTTACGACGCCGCGGACGCCGCCTCCCAAAGAAAAGGCGCCAACGGTCACCGGAAACGAAGAAGGCGACCGTACGGCGAATACAGAGGGCGCGTCGAACGTCGTGCGAAAGATGGACGGCGTCGGTAATACCGACAGAAGAGCGGGAAAACAAGTAGCCGACCAAGTCGACTCGCAAACACCGCAGATACCGATTGAAAAGATGACAGTGTTACAACTCCAAGATGAGTTACGGAAGAAAGGCTTATCGATAGCAGGGAAAAAGAAGGTCCTGACAGATCGTTTGCGAAAAGCAATAGACGACGAGGACGATGGATCGGAGATCGACGCGACGGATGACAGCAGCGACGATGAAGAGGTTAGACAACTGACAGTGGGGCGTGGTGCTCAGGATCGTAGACAGCGCCATTCGCAGCCACTGGGGCGTACCACACGTCAGCAGACGAGACGTCATAGCTCGCCGAAGCGAACCGACCGGCGAGTTCAAACACAAGAATCGGAAAACGACAGTGAAGACGACCCAGAAGAAACGCAAGACGAAACGCGAGTGCAAGCAAATCGTCGGCACGGCGTGCCAAACGAACGAGAAATGACACAGGTGAATCACATGAAGGCTGCATTTACTATCAAAGACGTTGAAGGAAGTATCCCTACTTTCACCGGTGACGATAAGATGACCATCCAAAATTGGATTGAGGAGTTCGAAGATACGAGCGTCCTGTTGCAATGGAGCGATTTACAGAAGGTAATTTACGGGAAAAAGATGCTTCGCGGGTCGGCGAAACAATTCATTGCCTTACAGCGAGGGCTGGTGTCATGGGCGGCTCTCAAAGATTGTCTCACTAAAGAATTCGAAGTGGAGGTTAACAGCGCAACAATCCACTCTCAATTACAGAAACGTAAGCGTCAAGCCAACGAGACTCCGCGTCAATACGTGTACGCTATGCGAACGATCGCGAATCAAGGCCGTGTAGAAGACGAGGCCCTTATCCAATACATTATTGACGGCATCCCGGATCTCGAAGCGAACAAGCAGATTTTGTACAACTCACGGACGATCGACGAGATGAAGAAGAATCTGGAGCTCTATGACCGCATGCGCGAGAAGTCAGGTCGAAAGAAACCATCAGGTAAAGTTGACGCAAAGGGCGAATCAAGCAAAGATGGTAAGGACGCGAAGGAAAAGAAGGACGCGAAGCAAACGACAAAGAAGGCTCATTGTTTTGCATGTGGATCACCGGATCATGCGGTTAAGGATTGTCCCCACAAAGACAAAGGACCGAAGTGCTTCCGATGCGACCAGTTCGGACACGTGTCAAGTAATTGCGAGCAACCAGACAAGACAAGCAAGAAAGACGAAAAAATCAACCGAGTGACTGTTGACGAAGAGACCATCGCGATTCAAGTTAACGGTATAGACACGCTGGCTATACTGGATACAGGCAGTTCCAAAACTATTTTACGAGAAGACGAATACGTGAAGATCGGCAGTCCTGCGCTAAAACCGACGGTGCGCTTATTTAGAGGATTTGGAAACGCGCGAAGCAAGGCGAAGGGCGTCTTTGATGCAGAGCTGAGGATTCAAGACGAAGTTTATCGCAACGAAGTATATGTCGTTCCAGTCGAAACAATGGATACGAGGATGCTCATGGGGAAAGACCTACTCAAACAGATGGATATCCGTATTCTCGGTGGACAGACAACATTCCGGAAGATAACGGCAATTGAAGATGGAACACCCGCGCACGAGGTCAAGGGCGAAGAGAGTGTGCCGGGTAACCGATCCAAAGACGAAGATGGCGATGAGGTCAGTGCAGAATGGGAGCGAGGTGGTTTGTCTACAATCAACTACGTCGAGCCCGATGAAGTCAGTGTTCGAGGACCTTACGCAGAAGAGATCAGGAAGCTGATAGACGATTACAAGCCAATCAAGCAGGCACGGCATTCACATCAAGCGAATTTACGGACTACTGCACGTCAGAGAATATAGAGCACATCAGAATCACCACTGGAGTACCTAGAGGGAATGGCCAAGTCGAGAGAGTCAACAGAATCATTATACCAATACTAACGAAGCTGGCTTTGGATCATCCCGACAGATGGTATCGCTATGTGGACCAAGTTCAAGGTTGCCTAAACAGCACATATCAACGAAGTATTGGAATGACGCCATTTGAACTGATGTTTGGCGTAAAGATGCGGCGGAAGGAAGATCCACGAATTCTGGAGCTGATCGAGCAAGAATCGGCCGAATTGTTCGAGAATAATCGAGAGGACCTACGTAGTTTAGCCAAGGCAAATTTGTATAAGATACAAGAAGAGAATCGACGTACGTTCAACCGAAACCGCAAGGCCGCTATATT